AAACTGAATATACTTATTTCTTTGGAAAAAAATAAAAAACGCTAATTATTGATGATGTCGTTTTTCCTCAAGCGACTTTTTTAACTTTACCTTCAATCGTGCCCTAACCTCGTTAAATCACGCTGTCCTCGTGTTCTTTTACAGTTCCGTTAATCTCATTAGTGTGTCGTAAGTCGTAACCCATGTCACCTTTCCCCACTCAGAAGTTCCCGTTTTTCCTCACTCGCAACGAAGGCGCGTGTTATTACTCTTCTTAAGAAGAGAGAACAGCGGAACCCGCGTAATCCTACGTCCTAAATTTCCTTGCGTAATCACGTTTATACCTTAAAAAAAATCCACGTGGCGATGGTTCTCGTTCACTGTAGAGACTTCTCGATTGAGGGATTAGGGGAGGAGAATAGGGAAATATCTTTTTAAATAAAAACACCGTAATTATAATTTTATATGATGTTGTAATTTTAAGAGATTTTGTTTAATTTATATTTTAAGGATATAGATTAAAAAAATTTAAATATATTTTTTATTCATTAATTTATATAAAAAATAAAAAAATTAGCATTAATTATAATATTTATGATACATAAATATATTTTATTAGATAATTAATAAAATTAATATCGATTTTTAATTTTACTATGGGTATTAATAATAAAAAATTATAATAAATACAATTTTATCTTATATTTTAGGATAAATGATGGAAAAATTCATTTTAAAATATGATATGTTTTTTGAATTTTTATTAAAAAATTAATTAACCATTTTTTGAAGTTTAGCCTTGGAATGAAGAAAAGCATAGGGAATGGGTAAACTTAGAAATACAATATATTATTATTACTTTTGTTTAATTTTAATTATTGTAATTTGACTTGTTAATTTTTTAAATATTAATTTTAGATAAAAAGTTAACATAATATATAATAATTAAAAATTTTATATCAAATAAAATTACTCAATAACAGCATTTGGCCCGTGTGGTCCAGTAACTAGAGCCACTGAAAAGTGCACATCCCCCTCCCCTGGGCGGGTTTCGAACCCGTCCCATGACAAAACTGTTCAAAAAAAAAAAAATACTCAATAACAACTATATAAAAGTGAAAATTAACAACTATATAAAAGTGAAAATTTTTAATTTTTAATTATTATTTATATGTTTTGTTTAAATTTTCAAATGAAATTAATGTTTGAAAATTCTAAAAATTAAATTAAAATTACTAAATTTAAATAGAGTAATTCAGAAAAATTTTTAAAATTATTCCTTTTTTGGGATTTCTTTTTCCAAAAGTGTGTTTATGATGCTTGCATAAGTGTTATATATATGGAAAAAGATTTGTGCACACCCGGGTCAACACCCGGGTGTGCACACTCCCCCATTGAAAAAAAAAAAAACCCAACCCCACCCGGTCCCTTTCATATAAATGTATGCTGGCATAAGTTTTTTTTTTTTTTTTTTAATGTATTAAAGCAAGTAATTCAAATTTGCAGAAACAGAGGGAAAGAAAGGCACTTGATCCTCCCGACTCAATGATTATAAATTGGATTATAAGATACATCTCTTAATTTTTGGATTGAAATTTGAATCTCCCACTCTCAAATATAAATATGTTAAAAAAAAAAAAAGATGAAAAGGGGGTGGGGGTGCATAGGTTTAAACACCTGTCATAACTCATGAGATATGATAACGTTTTATATTAATAACAAAATTTCTTTAACTATTATAGTTTTACATAAGTTTTTTTCCTTTTTGTAAAATGTATGCTAGCACAGGCCTTTTTTTTTAAAAAAAAATTTAAATGTATGCTAGCATAAGTTAAAGACCTAGAAATGCACATTTTTTGTACATTAAAAATGTACAGATAGAACAAATGTTTTGGCATACATTTTCAATGCAAAATTAATAAAAAAAAATGCATAGTTAAGCTGTTTGAGAACCCCTGATAGATGGTAGTCAAATATTTAATGATTAATTCACGTAATTATATAGGATGTGTTTAATTTAGCTAATTTTATCATTACAAAGTTTTCTATAACAATTTGTTAGAATGCTGAAAAATTAATTTATGTTAATTTTAAACTATTAAGTAAGAGAATATATGGTGTAAGGCAGATTATCTTTTCAAAAAGTTTTTTAGATTTAAAAATTTAGTTTTTAATTAATAGTTTTAAAAACTAATCACTAAATCGAAAGTTTTATTTATATAGATTATATATGTCAATTTGTATATTAATTTAATACTTATAACCTTTTGATTAAATAAATTTTATTTATAAATATATATTTAACAATGTTAAATTTTTTGTAATCAATAAAGTGGTTAAGTCTACTATAACAATTTAAAAATTGACATATATAATTTAAATAAATAAAACTTTTAATTTAACAATTAATTATTTACCATATTAATTAAAATATAATATTTTAGACAATTCTTTCAAAAAAAATTTAAGAAAACGACCTAAAAAACATTTTTACCATGTACAAAAAAAAAAACATTTTTACCTAAATAATATTAGACTGTTTGAATTAGCTTTTTTAAAAAGCTAATTTAATAGTTGATATCTATGACATATAATTGTTGATATTTTATCAGTTATTAACATAACAGTCAAATCAAACTATTGATGATATGGAAACTTGGCGCATAGGCGGAGTGGCATCCACCATTTTTTTGTAAAGGTTTACATTTTTTTTTTTTTTAGTTACGATTCAATTTGATCTTATGATAATTGTTTAAAAAAAAAATTATTGATGATATATGTTTTTAATAATTTAATGACATTGGTTATTTAAAATTTCATGGTAGGAAAATAAATATGAGTCTCCTACTATTTTACAATCTATATATAGACTCTGGAATGCAAATTTTTTCTAACAAAATATTGTGCCTACATTATTTAGAATTACATTCTTTATATTTTCCATCAATTATTATATTTTTTTCTTTTGAATTTTTTTTAACTTTTTATCTTTAAAGTACTTGTTAAGGAGAGTTATGTGTCATAAATATATATAAATTAATATTATTAATAAATAAATAAATAAATAAATTATAAATTATAAATAATTTTTATTTTTTAACAAAAATTAATAATAAAAATATTTATTTGTTATATTTTTAATTTAAATACAAGTTAAAATTTTTTTACTTTAAATTATAAAATATAAATTAATATTTTTTTACGTTTTAATCTATTAAATTCACTTATTATATTAGTTACATTTAAAATATTTTATTTTCAAAATGAGACTATCACTTAACTAGTTATGGGCATCATTGCGTTCTTTCTTGAAGCTACAGTTTCTAGGAATTTTGCAAACAAGGTAACAGTAGCCGAAAACGGCGAGTAGACCCCACGCTCCCCCACCAATAATTGATCTTCCTCCTAATCCTCTCTGTACTCAAGCTGGCGCCACCCTGTGTCTGCTTCTGCTTCAACTCTTCACAATTCCTTAAACCCTAACCCTAAATTTCAGCCTCTGTAAATCCTCAATACCTCCCCTATTCAATTGATTCTCCATCTCCATGATCTAATTCAGCAGAGCAACCAAAAATTCTGGTGAAAATAATAATAAAAAAAAAACGATGATTCCTCTGTTTCCCTGTATTCTGCTTCAGTTTTTTCTCGCCTTTACCGTCCCGACGATTCCCAGCGCAAGCTGCGAGAAGGACACTATATATGAGATTTTGCGGGCGCACGGGCTGCCGATGGGGTTGCTCCCCAAGGGCATAACCCATTTTGACGTTGACGAAGCGGGACGGTTTGAGGTCCACCTGGATCAGGCCTGCAACGCCAAGTTTGAAAGCGAATTGCATTACGACAGGAACGTTTCTGGAACTTTGAGCTATGGGCAGATCGGGGGGTTATCGGGGATATCGGCTCAGGAGTTGTTTCTTTGGTTCCCGGTTAAAGGGATTCGTGTCGATGTACCTAGTTCCGGTCTTATTTACTTCGACGTCGGTGTCGTATTTAAACAGTTTTCGTTGTCGTTGTTTGAAACGCCAAGAGATTGTATGGCGGTACGGTCTTCGGAATTCGATGTTGGGATTCAAGACGGCAAGCTTATAGCTGAAGCGGTGGCCAAGGTTTGATATCATTTCTTCTGCTGAATTCTTCTCAGTTTCACTTGATTTTTCATCAATTTCATTGAACTTAAGCTTAAATTAGTCTGTTGTGTACCCAATTGATTGAGAGGCTTGTAGGTATGATGGAAGTTTCCATTAGTCAACTTCAGGATTATACTGTAGAATGCTTAATGTGGTTTTATTAATTTGATGATATCATGTGCAGAGCCAATATATGAATCTGCGAAATGATATCGAACAGAAGTATTTCGGGAGGGATGTTCTGTAGAATTTGATGGAGAAGGTGTTACCAGTTCAGCTCATGGGGATCCATTGTAAATGTTGTCAGGGAGTCTGCTTAGCAATTGGCAGGTTCTACGCTTCCATCCTGTGTGCTTGCGTGCATTTTTGTTTTCTATATAGTGCAGAGTCCAGCTCCTGTCTGCAAGGATTGTTGGTGAATCGAATTGACCAAGGAAGAATAGAAGGGAAAGGCAATGTTGTGATCTTCAGTGGTAAATTTACATATAAAAGATAAAGTGAGGTGGGAGAATTCAGTTGGTGAATTCAGGTGATAAATCTGCAACATTTTAATTCAAATCTTTTGCATATTCATTGTATTGTGGTATAAGCATGGTTGCTATGTAAGATAATTGAGTCCCTTTTTGTAGTTATAAGCTTTTAGGTTGTTGAGATAAGCATACCCCCATGAATCATGATATAAAAGTTCAATAATAAAATGCCCTACATTTTCTCTGCGTTTTAGAGGCTTCAAGTATACTCAAGTATCATCTCAGCCGGTTTGATGCTCATTTTCTAACTTTTGACATGTTATATATCCTTGTGTCCTATAACTTACGTCATGTTATTGATTTTTCATAGATGGTGAAACAGAGTGGGGAAGTGTTAGTATTTGATAAAATATTGCTTCTTCTTTTTTTTTTTTTTTCTTTAAGGCACTTATATCTACATTGTTATGCTCAGGTCTTAACCAGAAGGGATTCTATTCTAATTGTCAGAGAGTTTGACGAGGTTCTGTAGATGGTACAGTGAGTAGATTTCTCTCAAGGGTTTTTTCTTCTAACAATTCTTCTCCTATTGGTTGGTTTTACGTTTTTCTGTCTCTTTTCCCTGGGAGGAGGGTTTTTTCTTCTAAGAGCTTGGAAGTTAATGAGTGGCTTGTAGTCGTAGAAATGCAACTAATTAGTAGGAGGCTTTGAATGGTTCTGAATTGTGGATCTGTTAACATCCAGAGTTTCTGAGGACACAGTATACTACTTTAACTTGACTACATTCTGTGTCATGGAGCCTAATGAAATTTCTCCAAAATTTCCAAGTGTGGAATCATTCTTTCTTTCACTATCTTTTCCCATTTTTGGTTGAAATATGTTGACCGAATTAGAAACTGTACCATACACAGTCTAAGCTGTTATATGCAGATAGGTGCAGCAGCCTTTAGCTGGTTGGTCTTATTGAGGGTAGGGATTCTATGCAAATCTGGTCCAGATTATAGACCAATATATACCACAGAAACGCACTTGGCCCGTGTGGCCCAGTGACTAGAGCCACTGAAAAGTGCACATCCCTTCTCCTGGGCGGGTTTCCAACCCGCCCCATGACAAAACTGTTCAAAAAAATATATATATACCACAGAAACTTTCTATTGCGATTTGCCTGTGTTGGCTCATATTCTTCCCTTTTAGAAAGGAGAGGGACTTTTATACACCATAACTATTTGCCACTGCAGAATTTTTTCTGGCAGTATCTTTAGCCGACCTTAGATTCTTTCTTCTAAATGCTGAAATGTAGCTTTCTAATACTGCCATGCCACTTTTGAAATGGACACTCAAAGATTTGACAGCCTTGTTGTGTTTTTCGGAGGGTCCCTGCCACATTTTTCCATAGTTTTCTTGGTTACTGAAAAATTGTCTAGTTAAGATGCTGTGAATCCGTAATAGAGGTCTTATCATTGATTTTAGCAGTTAATTCTTGAACTTGGTAGGTGAGTTAGTAAACAAATTCTTTTGGTTATGCTCTATGAGCGCTATATAATAAGGGAAAATACTTTTTCTTTTCCCACTTCATTCTCCACTCATTTCAAAATTTAAACATGATATATCCAACGTCGGCCAAAAAAAATAAAGAAAATACATTGAACTTGAAGCGTTGGAGTTCTTAATTGTTGAGACGGTTGTGACACCCCTTGAGGGCATTAGTTTGTAAAAAAGTAAAAAGTTTGTTTAACCTGTATCTTAAAAGTAAAAATTAAGGTTTATTAATTAAAGTATTTTTAATTTATTTTATATAAATTTTTGTGTTAGGTTCATAATTTTTTACAAATTTTAAATATAAATATTTTATTTTAATCTTATATAAAATTTTATACAAAATTAATTATAAATATTATAATTAATGATGCTAAACCTATATCAAGTTAGAAAATTTCAAAATAAATAAGAAGAGCTTAATCTGGGTCATGTATTCACATACAGCCTCTCAGAATAGAAACTTGCATTACAATTAAGTTTGGCCGAGTGAGTTTACAATAATTTGTTATTATTATTATTATTATTATTTGTTTAATAGTTGAGGTGTCGTGGAACCAATTTAATTCTTCATCAATCTAGTTAAAAGTACCAACAAAGGGTTGGATCAAGTGGCAAGCGGCAAGCGGCTTGTTCTACCTTAAGTAAAGTCTCGAGTTCGAAACCTTGAATACGCAGCAGCCTTTGTTGGGAGACCCACCCACCATTCTGGTGCGCCATAGCTGATCAAGTCCAGAGTAGTTTAGGCGAAGCCCCGGATACCGAGCAGGAAACCAAAAAAAAAAAAAATCTAGTTAAAAGTAGATTTATTCATATTTAAATCAGAGAATTTATGCTCTCCAATGAATAAAACATTGGTGGAGAGTTCGCAATTCATGAGAAAACAGATTTCCATCAAATAATAAAGGTATGGAACATCCATCGTGAACCACTCGTCTAGTTAACAAGAATCAAACACGAACAGAACAGACAACTTGGCATGCCACAAGGAAAATCATGTGATTACATGTGCTTTGCAAAAGTTTTCCTTTCCTTCCACCAGTTTTGAGAAGGTTCCAACTCACACTTTCCACGTATTCCTCTCTCTCTCTCTCTTTTCAAAATGCTTGAGCTATACATAATTTTGAAGGGTTTTTTAAATTGTTAAAAATTTAAGATTTTAAATTAAAAATTTTAAATTTGAATCTCAAGGTAGGTGAAGAGAGATAAAAAATAAATAAAAAAATTATCTCTTTTTATAAAAATATTTAAATATTTTTATCTATTCAAATTTAACTGTTCATTAATTTAAGATTTTAAATTAAAAATTTTAAATTTGAATCTCAAGGTAGGTGAAGAGAGATAAAAAATAAATAAAAAAATTATCTCTTATTTTATATGTAATTTATTATTTAGGTATTATTAAATTGTTTTAGTTCAGTGATTAACATTGAACATGAATTTGCCTTTTTTTATCGAGGACAACAATGTCAACAAAAATTTTAAATAGTTATTTAATTTTTTTTTTTTTGTGTTTTATGTATATCTTTTATTTTGGTTGCTCCACAACAAACAATTCTTTTTCATCAGTTTACTTATTGGGTCTAGTATTTATTTGGTTTATGAAAAAATTATTTCAAAATTACGTTATTTCAATAAAATATTGTAAAAAAAGATAAAAAAATAATTTAATTCATTATTTAAAAATAAAGTATTTTAATTTTTTTCAATGAGAATTTATTGAAATGAAGTAATTTTAAGATATTTTTTCTCCTTATTCTTAGGAGTTGTGATGGGTAGACAGTTACACACTATTATTTACTTATTTACAAGTTAGAAATTTTTATTTACATTAAAAGAAGATCACTGCTAAATGACTTTAGACAGTCAGCTTCTCCGGCCATGTTTTTAATTGCATAACATTTTGGCCACAGTGTTTAATTGCATAACATGACCGAATATAAGTTGTTTTTTTTTATACGAGAATATAAGTTGTTTTTACTCTAAATTGTAGTATATTTGTAGAGAAAACTACTTGTTCGGTTAACTATCATCAATCTTACCAATCAGGATACCGACACAACACAAGGGAGGTCACAATCTTGTTCTCCTAATATCTACAAACTTGTGAACCTGAAATAATAATAAT